CACACAGTAGGTACTACAGAAATGCTCGTTTTCTCCCTGCTAAGAGCTGGGTCCCACCTTGGGGAAAGGCAGACACCCGCTGGATTGGGAAATGCGTTGTCCCAAGGGGGCTAGACCAGCTTGTTACAAGAGGAAATTGGTTTCTTGGAACCATTTGCCAGCCTGCTTTGGTCATTGGAGCATGGGGCTTCATCCAGCCTGACCTGTGCTCTAGGTACAGAGGCGTCCTTGGGGCTGCCTGGGTCCCAGGGACCCTGGCACCTTCCCCTCAGAGCTGGGGGTCCCTGTGGCTCTCTTCCTGAGGTGTGCCCCTTCCCAGCAGGGCACACGGTGAGTATTACAGGAGCGATCCCTGCGAGGACATTGAAAGGGCCGGTTGATGAGGCGGCTGTCGGTGCCTGAGCTTCTGCTGTGCATGTCCAAGCAGAAAGCATCAAGGCAAACTTGGGGGAAAGGGCTCTGCTCTCAGGGCCTCCTTCCTAATTGGGCCTCCCCCTACCACCGTCTCAGGCCAGGAGCTACCCCAGCGGTCTGCACGCCCAAGAGCAGAGGAGACAGGACCTCGAAGGACAGCACCACAGCGGGGACTGAGGATGACAGGGAGAAGGCAGAGCCCCTATGCAGATGTGGCTTTCCTTTCCTCTGCAGCCATACTGGTCTTTGGACTCCAAAGGAGAGCACAAATACAGATGGCAGGGCAGGGCTTAGCAGCGAGGAGATAACAGCTGCCTTTGTGGAGAGGAAGGTGCCCCGCACCAGGTAAACTGCATCCTGCCAGACTAGAAGCTGGGGGGGGGCAATGACCAAACAACGGCAGGGAACAGAGCCTGCAGACTACAGCCAGTGTGCCTGACGGTGAATCCTGGCCTTCGGAGTCGTGGTTAAGGGGTGGTTAGCAAACAGCTAGAAAAGGAAGCAGTCATCACTGGGGCACCGGGGCCTGAGCGGGGCCTGGCCAGGCCCCCCAGCCTCGGCTCCCTTTCTTGACGGGTCATGGAAATGGTAAAGCAGGGGAACGCTCCCTGGATTTCAGGAATGTGTCACATTCTTCATCATCATCAGGGCCTCCATCCCCTCCCCTGCTCAGATGTTCTCAGTCCTGCTCTCCCTTTCCCTTTCTCCCGATTTCCAGCCAGGAGGACCTTTCCAGCTCTGAAGCCCTTATCCCCTTGTCCTACACCCACCTTTTGACAGACTTCACCACAGACTCCTTACCCCCCCCACCTCTTTTGCTCCTACTTATGAATCAGGCTTGATAGCCAGCCCTGAGGACCCTCCCCTCCACCCTCTCCTCCTCCCCTTGGGTGGCTGATGGAGAGCCAGCCCTCTCTAGGTGCACTGAGCCCAGCCCCTCCCATCTTCTCCAGCAGATTGCAGCCTCTCCCCCTCTCCAATCTTCAACTTCTCCCTATCAAAGGGTACCTTCCCTGTCTCCACCCTTAAAAGCCTTCCCTAGACCCACCTCCCATCCCCTCAGGATGCTGTCCCATATCTCTCCTCCTTTCCCAGACAAGCTCTCTGAAAAGCCCCTGCTTCTCATTCCATCCCCAACCCTCCAGGCTGGCCTTCATCAGTCAGCTGACAGTGCCTCCCCAATCCGGGGTCTTTCCTCCAGCCTCGCTGTGCCACCCTCTGCTCCTACGGACCCTCTCCTCTGACTGCATGTCATGCTGGGCTCTCCTGACCTCCGCCTAACTCTCTGACCGCCCCTTCTGGGGCCCCTCTGCTAGAGGCTCAGCCACATCACAGCCCTGTCCCTGCGAGAGGGTGTCTGTCCCCAGGGGTCTGCCCAAGCCTTCTCCCTCTGCTCTCTATGCCTCTCTCCTGCCTCTGTGCCTTTCCCTCTCTTTCTCCCTCTCCGTTGCTCTCTTCTCTTTCTTCTCTCTCTCTCTCACCCTCCATAGCCTCATCAGCTCCCTCCCAACTGGCCTCCCTACCTCAGGCCTCTGTCCACACCAGCCCATCCTCCACACGGCTGCCCATCTAGCCAGGGGCCTCCCCTTCTGGTCAGCCCCAGGATCAAATACCAACTTTTCTGCTCAGTTTTCAGAGCCCTGATGCTCCAGCTCCAGCCTCATTGGGCATGACTCCTCCTCCTGTGCTCTGCATTCAGCCGCACTCCCTCAGGGTGTGCGCTGGCCGCCCCCCAGGCCTGGAATGCTCTTCCTCCTCCAGGGCGCATCCGGATTCCTTCTCTTTCTCTAAGGTGCTGCAGCTCCCCCGCCGCTGTCTTCCCGTGTGTGTGCCTTTACGCATGTGTACACATGTATAGGTGCTCATGTACATATGCACGCCTGTACAGCCCTTCCACTGATGTGGAGTACACTTTTCCTTGCACCTGGATGTGGAGCCCATGAGAGTGACCCCAGGAGCCTACGGAACTGTCAGCTCCCCGCAAGCCGGGGTCGGGATCATATCTCCAGTGCCCAGCACATGCCTGGCACAGAACAGGCGTGTAACACATATGTGTGGAAAATCGAGGCACATGAATGGAATGCAATATTATCGCGCCCTCAGAAATGACCAAATGGCCACCTGAGGCAGCAGAGCAGAACCCAGAGAACAGCTAACCCGCCGACGACCAGACTGTAGGGACTGCCATCAGTGACTGCCCGGGGACCCCAGAGGACCCGCCCCTGACTGAGAAGGGACAGATGCACAATGCAGGAAACACCGCCTTTTGGGGGTAGCTAGGGGGCGCAGCGGAGAGCAGGCGAGGCCCGGCGTAGTCTCATCACTTCTGATCGGCTGGCTGGGTGACTCAGGGCAAGTCCCTCACTGCTGTGTCTCAGTTTCTTCATCTGTAAAACGGGCACAACAGCACCCACCTCCCGGGATGGTTGTGATTCTTCAAAAAGACGCTTCTTTTTAAGGAGACCTTAAAGGACATGCCCACTAGTGTTATGGTCATCTTTGGATCCAGCCAAAGAGAGAGAATTTGCTTTAACATCACATACTTGTTAGGAGAATTTTCTCTTCCCTTTCGGGCTGGGGGGGGGGCGCTGGGTGGCACAATGGTTAGAGCTCTGGGCCTGGAGTCAAGAATTCCCGAGTTCAAATGTGGTCCCACATACTTGCTAACTGTGTGACCCTGGGCAAGTCACTTCACCCTGTTTGCCTCAGTTTCCTCATCTGTAGAACGGAGATAACAAAAGCACCAATGTCCCAATGAGATTACCATTGTAAAGTGCTCTGCACATGCCTGGCACACAGTAGGCCTACATAAATGTGAGCTATTATCATTACAAGAGTTCGGCGCATGCCTGGAACACAGTAGGAGCAACATAAATGTGAGCTATTATTATTATTCTTTATTAGAAGAGTTCAACGCATGCCTGGCACACAGTAGGCCTACATAAACACAAGCTATCTTTATTATTATTTATTACAAGAGTTCAGCACATGCCTGGAACACAGTAGGAGCAACATAAATGTGTGCTATTATTATTATTCTTTATTAGAAGAGTTCAACGCATGCCTGGCACACAGTAGGCCTACATAAACACAAGCTATATTATTTATTACAAGAGTTCAGCGCATGCCTGCCACACAGCAGGCCTATATGAATGCACATTGTTATTATTTCGTTGTACTTCAATGGGGGGGGAGAAGTAGAAGGGAAAGAATATGCAAGGAGAAGATGCTTGCTGATCGATGCTATTTTTATGGACAGTGCGGGACAGGCCATGGACAACTGGGGGGGCCCAGAAGGGCCTGACTGGGCGGTAAGAAGAATGAGGAGTAGCACGGAAGGCTCGCCTCCGTGTGGAAGGAGGTCTGCAGTGTGGGGCCCCAGGGATCTGTCTGTACCAAAGCCTAACACAAAAGCATTACCAGCCGCTCAGCCAACTGCAGACGGGAGTCTGGCTGGCAGAGTCTGTGCCCAAACAGAGCTCCACAGGCTAGAATTTGGGGCTGAATCTAAGAAGACAGAATTTAATAGTGATAAATGTGGCTTAAAAAAATCGATAAGTACAGGAGGAGGGGGGAGATGGGTATAAATTTGGAACTCAAAAACTTGGAGTGAATGTTGAAAGCTAAAAATAAATAAATTTATATTTAAAAAAATTTTTTAAAAATCGATAAGTACCAGAGAGGGATGGCCATGGTTGGAGAGTAGTTTGTCTGAAAAAGATCTGGGGGTCTGAGAAGGCCACAAGCTCAGCGAGAGCCAAGAGGGGGAAGGGGCGGCCAGGAAAGCTAAGACACCCTGGGCTGCATCAAAGAAGACACAGCCTCCAGGGGTGGGGAGGTGATTACTCAGCTGTCCGCTGCCCTGGTCAGACTTCCTCTGGGTCATGGGGTTCAGTTCTGGGGTAAATGAAGGGTGAGCCAGGGAGGGTAATCAGGATGGGGAAGGGTCTTCAAGTCTGGCTGCAGGGGGCTCAGCAGAAAGAATGGGGGTCACCCAGTATAGAGAAGGCTCAGGGGGCCCTAGGGAGCTGCCCATTGTCACACAGGGAGGAGGATCGGCCTTGTCTGTGGCTTGCAAGGACAACTGTCCCCAGGCGGAATGGCTGTCTGCGCAGGTGGGGACCTCCTCACCAGGCCCTCCAGCAAAGGCTGGCTGACCGCCCATCTAGGCTCACGGGGATGAGACCCTGGAAAACAATGGGGAGTTTTACAAGGGGCTGGAGCGCAGTGCTGGGCCGGGGGCCCAAAGTCACAAACCAGAGCGGACTTCTACGACTCCATGACGGCTCCATGACCTCACCCACAGTCGCTCCCACCAGGGGCCACCTTGCGGGGCACCTGCTCCAGCCCACACTGCCTCCTCGTGCCAGGGATGAGGCCCAAGGCGATGGTGCAGGATGGAACGGTCTGGAGGTGACGGCCCCGGAGGTGGTGGTCCCAGGGCTGATGGTCCAAGAGGTGACAGTCCTGGAGGTGATAGTCCTGGAGGTGAGGGCTCCAGGGCTGATGGTCTAGGAGGTGATGACTCTGGAGATGACAGTCCCGGAGGTGATGGCCCCAGAGGTGACAGTCCTGGAGGTGATGGTCCCAGGGCTGATGGTCTAGGAGGTGATGATCCTGGAGGTGACAGTCCTGGGGGTGATGGTCCCAGGGCTGATGGTCTAGGAGGTGATGACCCTGGAAGTGACAGTCCTGGGGGATGGTCCCAGGGCTGATGGTCTAGGAGGTAATGGTTCTGGAGGTGACAGTCCTGGAGGTGATGGTCCAAGGCTGATGGTCTAGGAGGTGATGACCCTGGGGGATGGTCCAGGAGGTGATGGCCCCAGAGGTGACAGTCTTGGAGGTGATGGTCCCAGGGCTGATGGTCTAGGAGGTGATGACCCTGGAGGTGACAGTCCTGGAGGTGATGGTCCCAAGGCTGATGGTCTAGGAGGTGATGATCCTGGAGGTGACAGTCCTGGGGGTGATGGTCCCAGGGCTGATGGTCTAGGAGGTGATGGTCCTGGAGGTGACAGTCCTAGGGGTGATGGTCCCAGGGCTGATGGTCTAGGAGGTGATGACCCTGGAAGTGACAGTCCTGGGGGTGATGGTCCCAGGGCTGATGGTCTAGGAGGTAATGGTCCTGGAGGTGACAGTCCTGGAGGTGATGGTCCCAAGGCTGATGGTCTAGGAGGTGATGACCCTGGGGGATGGTCCAGGAGGTGATGGCCCCAGAGGTGACAGTCCTGGAGGTGATGGTCCCAGGGCTGATGGTCTAGGAGGTGACAGTCCCAGAGGTGACAGCCCTGGAGGTGATGGTCCCAAAGCTGATAGTCTAGGAGGTGATGACCCTGAGGGATGGTCCAGGAGGTGATGGCCCCCGAGGTGACAGTTCTAGAGGTAATGACCCTGGAGGTGACAGTCCTGGAGGTGATCGTCCCAGGGCTGATGGTCTAGGAGGTGACAGCCTTGGAAGGCTCTGGGATCAGATGGGGGGCTGGCAGTTTCTGGCAGGGTTTGGAGCTGGGCAGTGCCCAGGGGTGGTCTTGGGCAGTTCCCTCCCTGTTCCATCCTGGATCAGGTGACCCTAGGGCAAGGAAGAGGCAGGCTCAGGTGGGGGAGTGGAGGGCCGGGTGCCCTGAGTGCCAGGGGCAGATCCGGGGCAGCTGTCCACAGCTGGGGAGGTCTCAGCATGCTGGGGAGCTTGCCCTCAGGACCTGCCCCTGAGCTAGATTGGGGCTCCTCTCCCCCAGGACTGCCTTGCTCTGCCCTTTCCCAGGCCCAAGGTCTCTTCCTCAGCTTCTCAGAGAGTAGAAAGCAAACATGGGGGCGGTTGGATTTGGCCTTTTACAAACTCAGACTGTAGGGTGACCGCCCCCATTGCACAAACGAGGAAACCGAGGCGCAGCTCCTTGGAGCCGCCAGCCAGCCGAAGCCGAAGAGTCCACAGATCCTGAGGATAGACAAGACTTCGAAAGTACTCCGTCCACTGCCAGACTGTGCCTGGTCACCAACCCCCAGGCACTGCGGCCCCACTGAGCGTGTCCTGGGGGCAGCCCTGCCTAGCAGCACCCAGGGCTGCTGGCGCTGGCACCCTCCTGGCTCGCAGCTGAGCTCTCCTCCCTTCCTGTAAAGAGACAGGATAAAAGGACATTTACAGAAAGTAGCCTTGGCTTGTGCCTGCAGGTCCTGCTGGAGCCTGGGGGAGATGTCGTGGTTTGTTCCTTCTTTCATTCCTTTGATCATTCATTCATTCATTTGTTCATTCATTCCTCATTTGTTCATTCATTCATTCATTTGATCATTCATTCACTGCTAGGTCTCAGGCTAGGCTCACAAAGATAAACCAAAACAAGGCCTTGGGGAGAGGAAGCTGAAGCCCCTGCAAAGGGCATGTACTTAATTTCCCTTGATTTTGGCAAAGCCCTCGCTAAAGCTGAAGGCTGTCCATCGGGGTTCAAACGGGTTGTGAGGGGCTGGACACGACAGCCAGCTCTCCAGGGCCCACATCAGCTTGGCCAGAGGTCTCCAGCAGAGGGCCCCCGCGTGCCAAGCTCCGCAGGGTGCAGATGGCCCAGAGACAACCCCTGGCGACAGCATCAGCAGCCAGACATATCTGGGCAGCCTGAAGAAACAGCCTAAAACGCAGGAGGGCCAATGGAAAGGTTCTCCCTGAGCTCCCAGAACCAGCTTCACTAGGATGAGATGAAGGTTTCCAGAAAAGATCTGGGGGTCTTAGTAGACTATCAGCTCAGGCTCAGGAGTGTGATGTGGCCATCGCATGAGGCAGAGGCCACAGCCTACGAGGGCCCTCTGGTGAAGGAATGAGCTGCCCCGGCCCGGGGGAGGAGGGCTCCCCCAGCCCCGCATGGCCACCAGCCAATGTGACAGGCATAATCGTGACCAGCTGGGGCCCATGGCACAGATGAGCAAACTGAGGCAGGTGGTGGGGAAGGGGCTTGGCACGTACTGATGCTGATGGAGGCCCCAGTTCCGATCTGGGCATGCCAGCTGCCCTTCTTCTCCAGTTCTTGTAACATGGACTGCTCAAAGGCCAGGGCGGCAACCCGGGTGAAAAAGGCCTTCACGTTCTCCCCTGTGGGAGGACAGGCGGCGGTGACCGGCTGAGAGAGCCATGATGCTGGGCAGCAGCCTACTGAATTCACCCTCCCCACCAGCACCGACCAGGCCAGGAGACAAAAGGAAACCCAGGGCCTGAGAGTGAGCTCTGGGCACAGGCCCACCCTCCCTCTCCTCCTACTGGGTGGGACGGATAGATGGGGAAACTGAGGTGCCAAGGGGCCAGTGACTCATCTCCAAGACCACACAGGCTGTGAGTGGCAGGGCTAAGATTTGAACCCAGACTCTGTGACTGAAGAAGTCAGTTTTTGCAAGGTTGGGCCCAGCAACCCCCACCCCATCTCCCTGCAGCACTCCCCTCCCTCCTCCCATCTCCCCCCAACACCCCCTCCCTCTTCCTGTCTCCCCCCCAGCACCCCCCACCCCATCTCCCCGCAGCACCCCCTCCCTCTTCCTGTCTCCCCTCCAGCACCCCCCCACCCCATCTCCCCACAGCACCCCCTCACCCCGTTTCCCCCCAGCACCCCCTCCCTCCTCCCGTCTCCCCCCAGCATCCCCTCCCTCTTCCTGTCTCCCCTCCAGCACCCCCCACCCCATAGCACCCCCTCACCCCGTTTCCCCACAGCACCCCCTGCCTCATACTCAAACTCACCTGTTTTGGCCGAAACTGACCAGTACTCGGCCTGCATCTCGTTGGCCAGATGGACAGCGTCCATCTCTGTCTGTTCACAGGCAGGCCCTGACTGGGGGAGAGAGCAGATGGGTGCAGGCCATAAGCCACAAATGGTCAGCCCTGGCAGAGGTGGGGAAGTACAAGAGACTGTGCACCTCCCCCTCCACGTCAGGCAAGGGGAGATGTCGGGGGGAAGGCTGTCCAGCTTAGGAATGTGGGAGGGGTACCCTTATGGCTGCTGGAAAGGCCCAGGGTGCGTGCTCGGCCCAGCCGTGGGGCCGTGTAGGGGAAGGAAACGGGGAGGCTGGGGGGAACACCCGCAGGATGCCAAGGGAGCCTGTGAGCTAGGACCGATGCCTTCGGGAGAGGCCAGAGAGACCCCCAGGTAAAGGGAGGCTGCCCAGGGAGGTTGCACAGACAGCAGAAGAGGCAGCGGGGTCCCGACTCCCTCCGAGGGCCTGAGGGAGTAGCCAGGCTGGAGAAAGAAGGCGCCCCAAGGCAGGCTGGGAGACAGGGCCTCAGCTAGGGGGGATGGGCACAGGTGGGGAGCGCTCCCTGGCCCAGCCTGCACCTGCGGGCAGTCGAGATCTTGCCCCCAACCCCCAGCTGGCCACCAGGAAGCCCCCCTTGGACCCTTCTCCTCCTGCTCCATGAGACCTGGGGCAGAGGACCTGGGTTTGAATCTCAGCTCAGTACTGGTATGAGCCCAGGCAAGCCCCTCCCTCTCTGGGCCTCAGTCTTCCTCTATAAAATCTGGGGGATGGGTGAGATGAGGTCCATCAAGCTCTAGCTGGGGATCTGGCTCTGCCTCCTGGCTTCTAGCCTCCAGGCTCGGCTCCAATCCAGGTTCCCCTCAACACTGAGGCTTCTCCTCTGAGACACCTCCCCCTCCTCGGTCTCTGGCTCCCGTCCCCCCCCCCCACCTCCCCCTGGCATGGTGCCCGGCACAGTGTTGGGAGGCTGGTGGCCCATCCTTCGCCTCAGGGCCTCCTCCTGTCCACAGCCTAAGGCTGGCAATGGCCCCAAGACCTGGGAAGCCCCATCGGCCCCTGCCTCCGAGGAGCCAAGCAGCTTTGGGATCCCAAGCCCTGGGAGGCTTCCAGGCTGCTGGGCCATGAAGGAGGAGGCCCAGAGCCTCCGCCCCCAGCGGCGGGCTCCCAGGGAAGCCCCATCAGAAGCTACTGACCGTGTGACCTTGGGCGAGCCTCCCCCCACGCTGCAAAGCTGGAGCTCACTCCCTGCTGCCCCGCTGGACCTGCCTGCCCGGGCCCTAGACACCGTGCCCAACCTGTGCAGCCCTTCTCTCCTAGGCCTCGAGCCTGAGCTGCCCCTCCCCCACCCCGGCTCTGGGTGCCGCCCCGGTGCATCCACTCACCAGCAAATCCTTCTTTGTCCCAACCAGAAAGACAAAGCTGGAGCCAGGCTCGTTCTCCCTCTGAGCCTCCGCCAGCCACTGTCTGGGGCATGAAAAACAGGGGCAAACTGAGCTGGGGAGGGGGACAGGGGGAAGGGGGAGGGAGGGGAAGGGGCAGAGAGAGGGAGGGAGGGAAGAGCCTGGGAGTACCAATCACACCCCCTCCTCAGGGCCAAGAGATCAGGCAGTGAGAAGCAGGAAGGTCAGGATGGACCCCACTGGTGGCAAGCACAACCCTTTGGCTGAGACCCAAGCCTGCAGCGGCCACAGTCCTCACCACAGTCGGGGCCCGGGGGGCAGGGGGGGGGCAGGCACGCTGGCCAATGGCCGTCTGTGGGGTCGTCACCTCCAGGAGACCGTGAAGGCCACGTTGGAGACGGGGCGATACTGGACGTCTGACAAGGTGTGAGGGACCTCCAGCCCCTTCCTGCATGGGCCAGTCACACATGCCTGGGACAGTCACTGGGTGGTCAGGTGGGCACAGGCCGGGACTCTGGCAGGAGACCCCACGCCAGGGCTGAGCCCCAAATGGCAGAGACACCTCAAGGAATCTGGACACTCACCTGGTGTGGCCAAGCGTCTGGATATCCGCTAAGTCAAACGCAGTGATTATAACTGCCCGGACACAAGAAAGGGGGGGGTTAGAGACGTCCCAGAGGCACGGAGGGAGGGTTGAGGGCACCCGACCCACCTAGGCAGAGGGCAGAGCCAAGGCCCAGGCCAGTGGGAGTCTGCAGCCCTGGCCAGCTCTGCCCCTGCACCACCTACCTCCAAGCTGTCTCTGGAATGCCTCCTCCAGGCAGAAGGCCTGTCCACCCCAGACCCACAGGTGCTGCTCAGGCCCTCTGCAGCCTTGCTGGGCCCAGGGAGAAGCTGTTCTCAGGGGCAGGACCATAAAAGTGCCAGGACCTGACCCCTGAGGGACGCTCCCCCAACCCCTGAGGGGAGAGGGGAGGGCAGGGGGAGTGCTCACCCTGGGCGCCCCTGTAGTAAGCTGACGCGATGCACTTGAACTTTTCCTGTCCAGCTGTGTCCCAGCTGTAGGGGGAAAAGAAGAAAGCGCATTTAGGGTTAGACCAGGGGCCAGCCTGGTGCTGGGAGGGGGGAGGAAAGGAGCTGACAGCCCCCCCACCCCCGGCTCCTTAACAGCTGTGGCTGAGCCCTCAGCCCATACCCTCAGAAAGGTCAGCCCAAAGCCCAGCCACATGCTGGTGACCTAGCCTGTGGGTGCCAGAAGGGACCTCGACCCACTCCCTCATTTTAGAGAGGGTCACAAGAGTACCTGTCCAGGCAGAGGCTCCTAAGGCGGGCTGCCCGCCACCCAGCCCACTGCTCCAGGACCGGGCCCTTCTCCAGGCAGCCGCCTCATGCCTTCCCCACCAGGTCCTGACTCCTGAGCCCTTGAGGGCAGGGTCTCCCACACCTCCCCACTTCTCAGAGATACTGTGATCAGATGTCACCACTTCACGTGCTTTCTTCTGGCCAGTGGTGAGCCAAGATGGTCAGTGTGGTCTGAGGACAGGGCCTTTGGCTGCCCCCCAGGGCCAAGCTCACACTTCCTGGCCTCAGTCAGAGGGCAGCAGGTGGAAAAGCCAGGCCCAGAGGGAGGGAGGGAGGCATGGAGACCACGGGTCTAGGGCAGGAGGAGGGAAGAGGCCCAGGCCCACTCACATCTGGAGGCTGTAGGGGATGCCGGCAATCTGGAACCTCTCGATTTCAAAATCAACACCAATAGTGGCCTTGTAGTCCCGATCGAAAGCGTCTTTACAGAACCTAGGAAGGAAATGGGGCTGCTTGTAAACCCAGGCAGGAGTCTCCACCCTCATCCCCCTGGGCACTGCCTGCCTAGCCTCGTGCCAACCGTGGGCAGGGGGATGGAGGTGGGCACACCAGCCCTGCCACCCCCACCAGGCCTGGTTACTTCTCTCCCCACTTGCTGCCTCCCCCGGCTCCTGGGGCCAGGGCAGGTCCCTTCTCCCCAGGATGGCCCTTCAGACATTTCCTACCATGGCCCCAAGACCACACATGCCCGGTTTGTCCCCCCAGGCCTGTCTTATATTCAAGTGTCCTCCTCCGGACACTGTCCTGGCACAGGACGCCAAGGAGGTGGCGTGCGTCCCTTCCGTGCCTCACTTAATGGAGCCTGAGAGCCTGTGGGACTGTCTTAGCTGCCACATCCCACTATTGACTTATATTGAGTTTGAGGGCCACTCAGCCCCCCAGATCTTTTTCAGAAAGACGGCAGTCTGACCACACCTTCCCTATCTGGTCCTTGTGAAGTTGGCTGATTGGCCTGGAAGGCCACAAGTAAATGGCAGGAGGGCAAGGGGTGGAGGACACCGGTCAGCCCAACTGGTCAGCCGTAAAGGTCAGGATGATGAAGTGAGCCAGGGTGGGGACCAAGAAAAAAGGCTAAGGAGGAAGAGGCAGAATCCTAAGCGGGCCCAGGTGAGGACGATGATGAGAGCAAATGGAAGACCAGCCCTGTTCCAAGCCATCTGAGAGGGGCTCCAAAGGATAGGGAGGAGGAAGGAGGCAAGAGCCTGCACCCAGGCCCCAAGGGGCAGATGAACGGGAGCCAGCGTGCGAATGTGACCCCCAGAGGGCACCGAGAAAGTTACAGAGTCAAAGATTTAGTGACCTGTGGGGGTCAGCCTAGAGAGGGCAAGACCCTTGCCCAAGGTCACACAGCACGGACCACAGAGCATCTGGGTGGAGACGCCTCTCCACGGACCTAAAGGCAGCACCACGGGCACGGGGCGGCAGCCCCTCCACTGATAGGTGTCCGCCAGGACAGAGTACCTGTTGATGAGGCTGGTTTTCCCCACGTAGAGATCTCCAAGGACGACCACCTTAGACACCTTCAGCCTGGGAGGGACACAGTAAGGTCAGAGCATCACTGAGGGGCTGGGGGAGGGGAGGGTAGATATCCGTGTTCATCATTCATCCTCCACCCAGAAGCCCCCAGCCAACACAGGGGCAGGACAAAACTGCCTGGCATCAAGCCCTCGCCCACCAACATCTGCCTGGGCAAAGGCTTAGCAGGAGGCCCAGGCCCAAGCCTACAGCTGCTGAAGACACAGCCATAAACACGGCAGCCCCACCTCAAGGGGAGCCTGACTACACACAGAAGTGCGCCCCCCCCACACACAGACGGGTATTTACCAAGCACCTACTGTGTGCCTGGGGCGATGACAAGACAAGCTCCCCCACCCCCCAGGAGCTCAATTTAACGCGGGAAATGATGAACAGAGGGAAGGCCCTGGGGAGGCTTCCTGGAGGAGGGGGGATTGCAGCTGGGGCTTACAGGAAGCTAAGGCGGTCAGTGGTGGGATCTATCCAGAACGCCGAAGGAGAGCCCCAGGGCAGAGGATGTGCTGGGGAGTCAGGGTGTGACAAGCAAGGGAGGAGAGGCCAGGAGGGCTCCGAATGCCAAACTGAGTATCTGGCGTTTGCTCCTGAGGGGATCAGGGACCACAGGAGGTCATGGAGAGGGGAGGCTGGGCATGGCCGGGGCCAGACCCAGGCTCTGGGATTTCTGAGAGCCAAGATGGTGCAGTAAGCAGGAGATCGCTGTCCCTCTCCCATTCTCATCCCCAAACACCCTCAAAACAGTGCCCCAGAACAGACTGTGGAACAGCAGAGCCGGCAGAAAGGCAGGGTGGAGCAGACTTTTGGTCCAGGAGACTTAAGAGAATCGGCAAATGAGGTCCATCTTGCTTGGGTAAAAGGGGGCGCAGCCCAGGACAGCAAGCATCCCAGCAAGCCCGTGGCAGCCTCTACCTCGGCAAACCGGCAGGAAGTCCTGAGCCCCAGAGCCACGGAGCAGGCAAACGCCAACACCAGGACATCCCCACATGTCCTAGCCCAGCCAGGGGAACCGGCAGACTCCAGCTCGGAGAACCATCACGTGAGCTGGTGTAGACCCAGGCGGGCTGGTGTCCTCCAATGGCCGGACCTCCCCACGCTTCAGTGCAGCCCTGGTGGGCAGGTGTCCTCCAACTGCCGGACCTCCCCACGCTTCAGTGTGGCCCTGGCGGGCAGGTATCCTCCAATGGCCGGACCTCCCCACGCTTCAGTTGGCCCTGGCGGGCAGGCAGGCATCCTGCAGCAGCCGGACCTCCTCATGCTTTGATGTAGCCCAGGGAAACACAAAAAAAATGCCACCTGGCCTCAGCACACGCCAGACACCACCACTAGGACCCCAGCTCAGCACCAAGTAAGCCACCAGACCCCTAGAGCCTCCAGCGGCTGGCACCTGAGGCCCCAGCACACAAAGCCAGTGAGAAGGCCCTGGCCCCCAGCACAAGAAGCTTGGCCCAGTGCCCCTGTGCTATAGCAGGAGAGCTCAGCTTCAAAAGCCAAGAAATAGGAAAACACCATGAGCAAGAAGCAGAAAAGAACACTGACCATAGAGAGCTTCTGTGGTGACAGGGAAGATCAAAACACCAGCTCAGAAGAGGACAACACTGTCAATATACCTACATCTGAAACCTCAATGAACTGGTGCCAAGCCCAAAAAGCCTTCTTGGAAGAAGCTCAAGAAGGATTCAAAACTCAAATAAGAGAAGTAGAAGAAAAACTGGGAAAGGAAATGTGAGGTATGCAAGAGAGAGTCAATAGCTTGGAAAAAGAAGGACAAAAATTAACTGAAGAAAACAAGTCCTTAAAAAGTAGAACTGGCCAAATGGGAAAGGAGGTATGAAAGCTAACTGAAAAAAATAATTCCTGAAAAATTAGAACTGGGCAAATGGAAGCTAATGACTCTATGAGACATCAAGAAATAGTCAAACAAAATCAAAAGAAGAAAAAAAAAAGGAAATGTAAAATACTTCATTGGAAAAACAACTGAAGGGGCAGGTAGGTGGTGCAGTGGATAGAGCACTGGCCCTGAAATCAGGAAGACCTGAGTTCAAATCAGGCCTCAGACCAAACACTTGACACTTACTAGCTGTGTGACCCTGGGCAAGTCACTTAACCCCATTTGCCTAAAGGAAAAAAAAAAAGCTAATTGAAAAACAACTGACCTGGAAAACAGATGCAGGAGAGATAATTTATGAATTACTGGCTTACCTGAAAGCCACAATCAAAAAAAGAGCATGGACAGCATGTTTCAAGAAATTATCAATGAAAACTGCCCTGAGGTCCTAGAACAGAGGGTAAAATAGTCACTGAAAGAATCCACTGATCACCTCATGAAAGAGACTCCAAAATAAAAACCCCAAGGAATACTGTTATCAGGTCAAGGAGAAAATACTGCAAGCAGCGAGAAAGAAACAATTTAAATATCATGGAACCACAGTCAGGATTACGTAGGACCTTGCAGCTTCTACATGAAAGGATCAGAGGGCCTGGAATACGATATTGCAGAAGGCAAAGGAGCTTGGATTACAACCAAGGATCAACTACCCAGTGAAACTGAGCATAATCTTGAAGGGGAAAAGATGGAAAGTCAGTGAAATAGGGAACTTTCAAACTTTCCTGATGAAAAGACCAGAGCTGAACAGAAAATTCAGTCTTCAAATACAAGGCTCAAGAGAAGCATAAAAAAGTAAACAGGAATGGAAAAAAACAAATGTTCTTCAACAAGGTTAAACTGTTTAGATCCCTACACGGGAAGATGATACCTATAACTCTTGAGAACTGTGTCTTTATTGTGGTGTTTAGAAGGGATATAGACAGAGAAAGGGTGGGGCAATAACCTGAATTTGATGTGATGATAAAAATAATTAAGGGGTGAAAAAAAAAGGATTGTACTGGGAGAAGAGGACAGAAGGAGGCAAAATGGTGTAAATTCCATCACACAAAGAGGCACAATGACCTATTATAGTAAAGGGGAAGAAGGGAGGAGGCGAGCACTGTTTGAACCTTAGTCTCATCAGATTTGGCTCAAAGAGGGAATAACATACACACCCACCTGGGTATAGAAATCAATCTTACTCTGTAGGGAAGTAGTAGGGGAAAGGGTTAGGATTATGGGCTGACAGAAGGGAGGGCAGACTGAGGGAGGCCATGGTCAGAAGCAAAACACTGGTGAGGATGGATAGGGTGAAAGAAGAAAGAAAAGTATAAATAGGGGAAAATAAGACGGAGGGAAATGCACAGTTAGTAATCATAACTGAATGTGAATGGAATGAACTCTCCCATAAAATGCAAGCAGATAACAGAGTGGATTAAAAATAAAATCCTACCATATGTTTTTTACAAGAAGCAGAGGGATACACACAGAGTAAAGGCAAAAGGCTGGAGCAGAATATATTGTGCTAAAGCGTAAAAACAAAAGCAGGGGTAGGAAGATCATTCTGGAATTTGAGAGGAGGATGGACTGGAGGGGGAGGGACTGAGGCAGGCAGACCCTCCCCCCAGCAGCTATTGCCATAGTACAGATGTAAGGAGATGAAAGGCTGCACCAGGGTGGAGGCAGGGTCAGAGGAGAGGAGGGGGCATATTCAAGAGATGCTGCAGAGGTGAAATGGACAGGCCCTGGCACCTATTTGGAAATGGGGAAGGGGAAAGAGAGAATGAAGAGCCCAGGAGGATGGGGGAGCCCTGGACACTGATGGTGAAGGTGAGAGGGTGAAGGGCTTGGGGGAGGGATGAGCTCCATTTTAGACATGTTGAGTTTAAGATGCTGACTGGACATTCAGTTCAAAATGTCTGAAAGACAGCTGGAGATGCAAGAGTGGAGGTTGGTAGAGAATTTGGGGCAGGACAGAGAGATCTGAGAATCACCAACATAGAGATGGTCATTCAATCCATGGGAGCTGATGAGGTCACCCAGTGAAGAGGGAGAAGAGGATCTCAGAACAGAGCCCTGAGGGACACCCGTGCTCAGAGGGTGTGATCTGGAGGACAGAGAAGACAGAGGAGTGGTGAGAGGGGGGAGGAGAACAAGGAGAGAGTGGGGAAGAGGGAGGGGGGGAGAGAGAGAGAGAGGAAGGGGAGGGAGAGAAGGGGGAAGGAGGGAGAGACAGAGAAGTCGGAGGGAGAGAGAGAAGAGGAAGAGGAGAGGTGGGAAGGGGAGAGAGAGAAGTGGGAGGGAGAGAGGGAGAGGGAGCGAGAAAGGTACGGGGGGGCCCTGAAAACCTGGAGAGAGGAGAGTGTCTAGGAGTAGTGACCAACAGTGTCCAAGGCTGCAGAGAGGCCGAGGGGAATAAGGACAAGGAAAAGGCCATTGGACTGGGCCTCTAAGTGGCGGTTTTGGGGAAGACGGGTATGGTGCCCGACTGGATGGGGTAAAGAAGAGAGGGGAGGCACCGCCAGTGGGCCACCTTCCTGGGCCGGGCAGCCATGAGGCTGACAGCCTGGGGGGACCAGGGCCGGGTTTCTGGGGTGCTCTTCCCTCCCCTGCCCCCACCAATGCAGCTGCAGATGACACAAGGTGCCTGTGAGGCTGAGGTTGGGCCTCCAGGCTCTGGCTGCCTCTGCAGTTTGGGTTCCTCTGCCCAGGCACAGGTGACCAGACAGTGACCCTGAGAGCTGGTCCCAGGCCTAGCATGGATCTCCATTCCAGGGGTGCTGACTCCCCAGGGGCAGGAGCTTTCTGAAGCAGCCTCTCCCTTCTCAGAGGCCGAGCTGGACCCCGAGCTGCTGCTCCCACGTCCATGTCCCGGACTCCTGGAAGTCTCAGACATAGAAGCCACAGGTTACAGGCTGTGCTTTTCTGAGTGAAAGTGCACAGAGAAGTCCTTATTCAAGGAGGTCTTTGGAGGCAGCGGGTGAGGCTGACCCTGAGTTCAAATCCAGCCTTGGACACTTGGGACCTGTGTGATTCTGGGCAAGTTACTTGGCCTCTATCTGCCTCAGTCTTCTCAGCTGTAAAATGGGGATCACAGTAACAGCTGCCTCCCAGGGTTGTCAGAAGGATCAGATGAGATAGGCCAGGGGCAGCGCACAGGAGGCACTATCTGTGCTTTCTGCTCCCCTGCCCTGCCGGCTCCTCCTCAGGCAGAGCCGAGGAGGGAGAACTGGGCTCCCCCAGGCAGAGGAACCCTGAGAGGTGAGACCTTGGGACGGGAAGGCCAGAGCCTGTACGTGGCACCTAGCTTCCCTGGATGGGCTCATGGCCTGCAGCCTGATGGACGCCATCCTCTGGTCTGGAAAAGCTGGCCAGTGAGACTGCTGACCTAGACCAGGGGGGGACAGGAGAGGAGCCCCTGGCCTCAAGAACAGCAAACATCCAGACACAGAAAAAAGGAACAGGACTGTGTGGCCAGAAGCCCGGCTCACAGTGTGGCCCGAGGCCCGAAAGCCAGGGAGCCCTGGTCAGTGTGGCCAGAGGCCCAGAAGCCAGGGAGCCTTGGTCAGTGTGGCCAGAGGCCCAGAAGCCAGGGAACCTTGGTCAGTGTGGCCAGAGGCCCAGAAGCCAGGGAGCCCTGGTCAGTGTGGCCCGAGGGCTGAAGGCCAGGGAGCCCTGGTCAGTATGGCCAGAGGCCCAGAGGCCAGGGAGCCTTGGTCAGTGTGGCCAGAGGCCCAGAGGCCAGGGAGCCTTGGTCAGTGTGGCCAGAGGCCCAGAGGCCAGGGAGCCCTGGTCAGTGTGGCCCGAGGGCTGAAGGCCAGGGAGCCCTGGTCAGTATGGCCAGAGGCCCAGAGGCCAGGGAGCCTTGGTCAGTGTGGCCAGAGGCCCAGAGGCCAGGGAGCCTTGGTCAGTGTGGCCAGAGGCCCAGAGGCCAGGGAGCCTTGGTCAGTGTGGCCAGAGGCCCAGAGGCCAGGGAGCCTTGGTCAGTGTGACCAGAGGCTGGGGAGTCCAAGGGCATAAGTAGAGGACATGCTGTTACAGGAAGTTAGACGTTGTTCCCTGCAGCCCCAAAGCAGGCTCTTCTGGCCTTTTCTGCCAGAGGAAGGAAGGCAGTAGGCACAATTTATCTGGGCTTTCTTGTGGAAGATGAGAGGGACACAGCATAAACAGCCCCCTAGCCACGTGGAACTGGGGTGCATCAAACAGCTGAAACCCAAGAATGATCATTAATGGCTCAATACCAACGTGGCAGAAAGTCTCCAGTGGGGGGCCGCAGGGATCTGTGCTTGGATAAAGGCACGGCTGCCATGCTTGGCAGATCTGCAGATGATACAAATCAGGAGAGCAACAAACCGAGCAACAGTCTGGAATCTTGGCAGGTGAGAACTCGGGGCCAAATCCAAGAAGACGAAATTTAAGAGGGAGAAATGCAGAAACCAAGCCCCCAGCCACAAGCTGGCGGAGGCCTGGGAGAGGGTGGTCAGACCAAGCAAGGCTCGGGAGCCAAGCCAACCTTGGGCTGCCTTCAGCAAGGCACAGACAACCTGGAGAGAAGCCCAGGGTCCAGCACTTAACGCTTAATAAATACTCACTCCTCCACTCAGCCTCCAGGCTGGCCTAACACTTACCTGGCAGAGTCCACTCACCTGCCCTGCTGTCACCCAAGGCCCTAAAATCTGCTGTTGCTCCCCCGCCTTGAGGCCAAAGCGGCCTCTCTGCAGCCTGGTCTTTTGGGCTTCCCTTCCAGGCTGCCCCCCTCCTCCAAGGCTTGGCTCAGGGGCCATCACTCCCATCCCCCTGAGGCCCCCGACTGGCTCTCCATCCTGCCTCAGATCACCACAGATCACCATGAGTCACCTGTCTCCACGCTGAATCTCCCAGGAGAACGCAGGCTGCAGGCCAGCAGACGTTTTACAACCTAGCACGATGCAGGGCACACAACAGGTGCCTAATTCATGCTGGTTAAGTTGACCTGAGCTGCCTCAGCAGGGTGGGTGTCACCAGACACCCTGCTTGCTGCTGACCTTGGTGCTGACGCCCTACCTAGGGACACAGGGCACGGCAGGTGACGTTTCCGGCCCTTCCTGCTCAGGATCCTGCTCCCTGGCCTGATCAGTCTCAGGGGCACTGCTGAGGTCCGTCAGCCTTCCCTCCTCCAATCTGCTGAGAGAGGCCAGGCCTCCTCTGCCTCCACATCTGCTCTGACACCCACCCTCCTCCCACCGGGCCAGGCATTGGGTTGTCCCTGTCAAAGGCCAAGGCTGAATCGCTGCTTTGGGGACGACTTTCCCCTCTGTCCCTGAGGCCAAGCACCCCCCCCCCCGGCCTCTGAAGATGAGCCCAGGGGCCCACAGCACCGACATTTTGTGGTACTGGCCTCTGGTGTTCTGACCTCAGCTGGGCCCTCACTGCTATTTGGCGACCACTCCACACCACCCTTATCAACTCACTCCCCACTGGCTCCCGCAAACCTCCTCAGCCCTCCTCAAACCTTCCATGGCTCCCCCTCTCCCCATCATCTCAGCTGGGACCCTGCCCCTGTTTTACAGAAAATATGGAGGCCATTCGCCTGAGCTCCCCCCCTCCCCATCTCCCATCACTCAGGTGTCAGCATCTCCTCACTCCCCACCAAGGCGACCCCTCCTCCTGCTCAGCTGATCTCCTTCCATCCCATCTCCACTGCTGGGTGTCCAGAGCCCTTCATTACAGGCCCCACCCTCCTTACGCTGACCAAGCGAGCCTGGCCTCCGGGCTGCTGTCCACCTCCAGATTTCCTCCTTCCTTCCCTCCCTCTCCTCCCACCCATCCTATTCCCCATTACTGGGCTTCTGGCTGGGATCAGCTTTCAGGGCCCCTACCTATAGCTCAGCTGTCCAGTTACTGGCACATCTATCATCTCCCCAATTCAAGCACAAGCTCCCTGAGGGCAGGGACTGTGCCTCTGCCTTGCTTTGTATCCTCAGGGCTCAGCACAGGGCCTGGCACGCAGAAGCCTTCTTCAATGCTTGATGACTGAAGACTGACCTCCCAGGATGCATGGAATGTTGGCCTCACCCTCCCAAGATTGAAAGGTCCACCCCTTCACTTTACAGATGGGGAAACTGAGGCCCAGAGAGGTAACCACAAAACATGCCAGTGTCTGGCAGTCTCCCTTCCAGGCTGGATGTTCTCACCCAGGCTGGTTCTGGAGGAGGGGGGGGGCCTACCTGTCCCCTTCTCCCCTGTGCCCAGGGCGAGGCAGGGGTAGTGGTCTCCATCACTGACCCCACTGTGCCCAGCCTCCATCACTCACCCCACTGTGCCCGGCCTCCATCACTCACCCCCTGTGCCTGGCCTCCATCACTCACCCCACTGTGCCTGGCCTCCATCACTCACCCCACTGTGCCCGTCCTCCGTTCCTGGCATGCAGCTTGCACCTGCCCATGGAAGTGGTCCTTGAGTTGAAGGCAGGCCTCAGGCGTGTACCACTGCAAAGGCACAGAGATGCGGGTCTCTGAGCGGCATAGGAAGGTGGGCAGGTAGGCAGCTGGCACCTGGGAGGATGGCAGGCCAAGGCCCATCCTGATTGTGCCCACAGTGGGCACCCTGGTCAGCAATCTCTGGTCCCTGCTGGGAGCCCTCCCCCCAGAGTTAACCTCCAGGGTCCCCCAAGGCCCCAAGGGCTAAGACAGGGGCAGGGAAGCCCCTCCCCTGGAGGCCTGGGCCTTCTTCCTAAGGCTCACAGATTGGCATCACTCCCTCCAGCTCCAAGAGGAAATGACGAAGCCCAGAGAAATCCTTTCTAAAGCTTGGGAATTCAGGGCCTTTTGGAGTCCGGATGACAGCACACAGGGCTGATCCCGTAACAAAGTGCTGACCTATGACATCAGCCCTGTGGGGCAGTTCCAGTGTGGGACTGCCCCACATCCATGCACAGACATGAAGAGACTCTTTGCTCTGGGTTTCCCTGGGCCCAGGCCCTCCCCAGTCACTCGCGGCTTGGTTGTCCCCTGGGCCTTCTGGCAGCCCTCGTCCCAGATGCCTCCTTCCATGACTGGGCCTCCCCAGACCACATTCGCCTGTGCCGCTGGGCCAGGAGGAAGAGGAGGTACTGCCCAGGCCTCGCACCGGGCTGCTGGCTCTCAGGCCCCCTCTCCCCCATACCCAGGCCCTTCCATCATCCCCATTCTCCCTGGTCCCTTCCCTGCTGCCCACAAACGCCCCTTCACTGGACCTTCTCTCTCTCTCACTCCCTCCAGCTAGTCCCTGCTGGACAGCTCCCCAGTACGGGGTCTGGGACAGGTCCAGAGCAGGCTTCCTCACCTTCCCTGCCCTGGGGGGACAGCACATATGCCCCTCCCAGTCAGTACAAAATACCGACTCTGAGTGTGGGGGTCCAGGGAGGCTATGACCTCAAAGAAATGAGGCGGGCCAAGAAGTGGGGATAAGGGAGAAGAGCATGCCTGGCCCAGAGGCCAATGACCTCCGCAGGAGACAGACTAAGACTGGAGGCCAGTGGGGACCAGACCCAGGCTGCCCAGGGCTGTCAGGCAGGCCCTGGAGGACACAGGGAGCATGGGAGTTTACGGAGCAGGGGATGACATGCTCAGATCCGTGCTGTAGGAAGATCACTTTGGTGGCTGCAGTGGGGACAGGCAGACCACCAGCAGCACCTGGTGCAACACTCTGGGCATGAGGCGATGAGGGTGGGGTCAGAGGAGAAAGGAATTTCCCGTATTTGAGAGAGGAGATGGAAGGGGAGGAAGCATGAGGGCCCTCAACGGTTCGAGGAGACGGTGGCACGCGGGGCTTTCGGGGGACAGATGAGGAGCCCTGCTGCAGCACGCTGAGTGTGAGATGACGGGTCAGGCAGTCAGAGGGGTCTTGGGGCCTGGTCTGCCTGGAGCCCAGAGGGCAGGGAAGGGAGAAGGGAAGTGGGGAGAATGAGGCAGGCTCCACGCAGGGCCCTAACAGGGGCCGTACCTTGGGAAAGTCAGAGATGACTCGGTCCCGGCTGACAGGCGGCCCCAGGAGCATCAGGTGGGATTCCATCCTTGCCAAGTCCCTGTGAGACACAAAACAGAGAGTGGAAGAAGCCAGAGGCACAGGGGGCCGGAACCCCACAGATGCCCAGGGGCACAAACGCACTGATCCTCCCTGTCACATGCCTCCCATCCTTGCCGGAAACCTCGGGAAGAGGTCACAGGGAGAGAGGCAGATCCGGCCGACAAGCCAGCCAGCCCCACACCTGCCTGTCAGCCCAGGTAGCAGGGCATCCCTCAACCCAGAACGGTCGTGGAAGGTCTGGACCCAGAACAGAGCCAGCCCACGGAGCACTACTGGCACACAGAAAGGTCAGGAAACGGAAGCTGGCCTGCAAGCACGGAGGATGTCGGGGCTTCTTCCAGCCGCTGGCCTGCGCCCCTCCTCAGAGCTGCAGGCCCAAGATGACCCAGCCAAAAGGGCCCCCTCCACCTCGGTGGGGGCCCCGTCCTCTCCCCACCGGCCCGTCTCCCAGGCACCAGCTGCCCACAGCCCTCAGGCATCCCTCCCTTTCCCCCCTTCAGTCTCTCTCTGTTCACAGGCCTCAGCCCCTCCTGGCCTCCCATTTCCAGGCTCGAAGCTTCCTTCCACTGGGTCTGTTGGGGATTTAAGGTAAGACTTGGAAAAGACTAGAGATGGGGGAAGGAACAAGGATTTAGAAAGCGCCTACTGTGTGCCAGGACCTGTGTGTGCTGACTGCTTGTTCCAACAGGATCTCCTTGGATCCTCACGACCACCCTATTATGAGTCCCATTTTACAGATGAGGAAACTGAGGTAGGCAGGGGTTAAGTGACTTGCCCAGGGTCACACAGCTTTATTAGCTGTGTTTGAGACCACATTTGAACTCGGGTCTTGCTGACTCCAGGCCCAGAGCTCGGTGCACTGGACCAAGTGAACCATAATTTGTCAGGAAAAATCCTACACGATCTGGGTGGGTTTTTTGGTTGGGTTTTGGTTTGGTCTGGTTTTTTTGGTGAGGCAATCAGGGTTAAGTGACTTGCCCAGAGTCACACAGCTAGTGAATGTCAAGTGTCTGAGGCTGGATTTGAACTCAGGTCCTCCTGACTCCAGGGCCGGCGCCCTATCCACTGCACCTGCCCCTGGGTGGTTTTTAAAAGGAAGAAATTAAAAGAGGAAATTGAGGTCGAAAGGTACAGAAGTGAATAAGGAAAAGCCTGACCCATCGTCAGGGAGAACTTTGGGTCCAGAGGGCACAGAGGAAGACAGCTTGGAGGAGGTGCCAAGGCCTCAGGGAAGCAGGCACAGTGCCACGGGCATCGCTGAGACTAAAGGCTGCCAGCCCCTCTTCCTGAGGAGTCACGTTCAATTGGTGGCCAACTCACAATGAGCACAGACAGCCCCCTGCCCTAATAATCAAAGAAAAGCCCACTGAGATAGCCCCACGCTTCCCTCCCCGTGTGCCCTGCACAGGGGCAAAGGGCCAATGGTCAGGGTAGGCTGGAAAATGGGAAGGAGAATCCAGTGCAGGTCACCAAGTCCAAATGGTAACTTTGGAGTGAGGCTTTTGCCAATGGGAGACTCAAAAATCCATCCCCTCCCCCACCCCCACCCTGTGCTAGGCCCAGAGCCTAGAACGAGGCCCCTGGAAGCCCGACCGTACAGAGACGCCTTCTGTGGTAGTGACAGCTGGGCACCCAGGGATGCCTGGACGGGGCGGTGGACACACAGAAAACAGGGGCACCCCAGGGCCGCGGAGGGGTGTGGTCGGCAGAGCCAGGAGATCAAGACCCAGAGGCCAGGCGAAGGGCCTTCTGCCCCCTCTTCACTGCAGAGGCCAGTGTGACTTTAGAGGGCCCATGGGAAGCATGCTCCACCCTGGGTAGAGGCAGTGGCCCACGGGTGCAGAGTCTCAGAAGCACTGAATCTGAGGCATCTCATCGAACCCAGGCCCCAGAGGAATCCCACTGGAAAGCATGCAGCAATGGCCTGCAGCCTCCGCTATGAGAGCACACAGCTCCTTGACAGGCAGCCTTGATGGCCCCTGTCCCCCTGCTCCTGATGCCACCTCCCCAGGAGAACTGCCCTGCTCTGACTCCTCTCCTTGCCAGGCCAGTCCAGCTGGGATCTCACGGCTCTGGATGCCCTCTGGTAGATCAGCATCCTCCTTCAGAGGTGCCCAGAACCAGACAGGACACGGAAAGGAGATCAGACAAGGGCATGGGAGAAGGGACCGCCTCCTCCTGGAAGCCTTCCCTTCTCAGGACCTCCAAGGTCTCCTCAGCTGTTCTGGCTGCAACATCCCCCCGCTGACACCACAGACAACTCAAAGCGCCAACATTTTTCAAAACCTGCTGCCTAGCCGAGCCTCCACTATCTCAAGTGTGCAGCACTCAGTTCTTGTTTGTTTGTTTTTCGCTTTCTGGTGAGGCAATTGGGGTTAAGTGACTTGCCCAGGGTCACACAGCTAGTTAAGTGTCAAGTGTCTGAGGCTACATTTGAACTCAGGTTGTCCTGACTCGAAGGCCGGAGCTTAATCCCCTGCACTACCTAGCTGTCCCTTAACATTGAGTTTTTGTACCCAAGGGCGAGACTTTACATTGACACCCGCTGAATCTGACCTCATGGGAGTCAGCCCAATGCTCCAGCCTGTCCACCAGATCCTTTCCACCTCAGCCCTGTCCTTCAAGGCCTTAGCTACACCTCCCAGTTCGCTTCCTGCAGATCCCAGGGGCCTCCACTGGGGACTTCCAGCCACAGAGAAACTGTGGCTCCTCTTCAGTCTGGCCACGTCCCCGTCCTGAATCCCCAGAACCACACGCCTTCCAGCGCACTCCTCCACCTGAACCGTCTGAGACACTTTATCGACGGCTGCTAAAGTCCAGAGCACTCCACTCACTGCTGAGTTTAGCAGTTCAGTCCACAACGGAAGGGGGGTTAGTCCAGTGTGACTACCCTGTCCTCGACAAAGCCAGCCTGGCTCCCAAGAATCACACTTCCCTTTGTACACGGCTGCCACTCATCTTTTCAGGAATGTTCCCAGGAACCAAAGTCAAGCATGTGGCCTATGCTTGGCGGGCTCTCTCCTCTTCCTTTTTTTATTTTTATGTTTTGTTTTGGCTAGGCAATGGGGTTGAATGACTTGTCCAGGGTCACACTCTCTTCCTTTTTTTTTGAAAAACAAGATGGCCACACACGTAGACTCTGGGGGTCCTTGTCTAAGCTTTCGCTCTAATTGACAAGTCAGGCCCCTAGTGTTCTATGCTTAGCCTGAGGAGCTGATGAGGGGGAAGAATGTCCTTCTCATGCTATACCTCAAGAGCCTCCACCAGTGTGCTTCCATACCAGGATTATCAGTTCATAGAAGTTAGCCAACTGCCAGCCAAACTCAACTTCGAGAAAAAGTAATTTTACTGTGGTAACAACAGTAGCTACAAGCATTCCCCACCCCCCCCAAGCTCACAAAGTCCCTGCACCCAAGGCGAGCGAGCCCTCCTCCCCACCCCATGTTTCCATCCCACCGAGTTCTCTTGCCTCTCCACACCCAGATGCTCAAGTCCCAATTCTGGCTGGCTCCAGACAGGCCTTCCCAACTGAACACCAGGATTGTACCAAGTCCCCAACCAATCCTAGCAGTCTTCCCGGGCAATGTCACACCAGCTGATCAAAGTCTTTTCAGACTGAAGGAGTCAATATTCTTGGCACTGACTTGAAATGGGACAGGGCCAATATCTGGGCTCCTCCTTTGTTTTCTATGGTCTTTCAAATCTCCCAGACAGAATCCCACAATCCCACCCGGCACTTCTGTCAGAGCCCAAGGACAGACAGAGTTCACCTGGGCTCTCCCTACTCATTTGGGGTATTAACTCCCTGTCACACGGGTCATTTTTGTTGTGCCACACCCAGGACATAGGTCCAAACAATCGTTGGGCAGCTCCGCCCTCTCTCTGCTGTCAGTGGTCCCTGTCCCATTCACTGCAGCGAAGGTCCTAGTCCTTCTCTGAAGTTCCCTCGGCCACCAAGGGGGCTCCTTGCCGTGCCCCTTGCGTTTCAGCTCATTCTGAGCTCTAGTGCTCCTGGGCCTGGAATCGAGAAGACCTGAGTTCAAATCCAGCCTGACACTTGGTAGCTGTGTGACCCTAGGGAAGTCACTTAACTTCCACCTGAGTTTCCTCACCTGCAATACGGGGATAAGAACAGCTAATAATTGTAAAGCACTTAGTAAAGTGCGGGGCACACAGGCACCATATAAACTATTATGTATGATTACAGGACCAGGCCCTGCTCCTACATCTGTCTTCTCTTCCCTGCCTCATGGGTATCTTACATTCTTTTTAACATCTTGGTTGGCACGTTCACTGCACAGCCACATCAGTCTCTTCAAACAAATCTCATTTTTCCTCATTGGAATTATTTCTCTGAGTCTTTGGCATTTCACTCCATCCCTCCCGGGCTGACCTTCCCTGAAGCAATGCCCGGCCTGAGACCCCATCTGTCTTTTCTTTAGAGGCAGCCAGGTAGGTGGCACAGTGGCCAGGGTACTGGACCTGGAGTCAGGAAAACCCGAGTGTCTGGCCTCTGACGCCTCCTAGCTGTGTGACCCTGGCCAGGTCACTTTACATCTGCTGCCTCAGTTTTCTCAACTGTAAAATTACAATAGCACCTCTTCCCCAGGGTCCTCGTGAGGAACAACTGAGATATTTGTAAAGTGTTTGGCACTGGGCCTGGCACAGAGCAGACAGTGACCACATACCTATTTTCTTCTTTACTTCATTTGAACTCACTGAAATCTGCTTTCCCCAACCCTAGGGTGCACGTCAGACTTTGCCTAGCACCCTTCTTTTTCACCACAAACTCCAGAAGCTGTTCTCAAAGCACAGCTCGAATCTGGCCTCAAACGCTTCCTTAGCTAGGCCAGTCTCATCCTTGCTCCCCGCCTCAGTTTCCCCAAAGCTGGCACGCTCAGGGCACGTCAGTAAACCTAGAATTGCGCTGCGCAGGCTGGGGGAGGGGGGAGAAAGACCTCGTTCTGTGTGAGCATGCCCAGTGGAGGGATGGAAGGAGCCCCGCCCCCACGAGTCTGGATAACTGAAGTCCCATCCCCCATCGGCAGAACCGAGGTCCCCAGCACCCATCGCCCTCTCCCCTACTTCCCCGGGTATCTACCCCGTCCTTTCAACAAGAAGGTAGGCCCAGCCTGCAATCAGCCAGCCAGGATCGGAGCTGCAAGCCAGGTGCCAGGGGAGCGGTCCCCGCCTCCACTCCACCCTGTCCCCACTCCACCCTGTCCCCCTCCACCCGGACCCCAGCCCAGGGCAGGAGGGTGGGGCCACTTACCCCGGCTGCCCCGTCCAGCCGGCCGAGGGCTGCCCGAGGGACTCTTGGCGTCACCATAGCAACTGGAGGACAAGCTCAGGGTGTGCCTGCTAAGCGCAGGGTGGGGGGGGGAGAGCCCGCACCTGCGCACTTGGAACGGAAGGGGAGGGGCACCTTGTGTGCTTGTAACCGACGCGAAGTGCTGCTGTGCTGTGGAGCCCTGGGGGGCGGGGTCCTGGGGCACCGGCCACGTGATCGGGGAGCCTTGAAACCGTGGCGGACCGCGAAAGAGTCCAGTCTTTGAGCGGGCGGGGCCACCCTGGCATTTCTGTTCTCTGGGCGTCTCCCCCGCCCTCCCCATCCCTCACCACAGACCCCTCCCCCCCCCCCGGCCCAAATCTGTTCTCTGGGCACCTCCACCACACACTCCTGTCCCTCACCATAGACCCCCCCAAATCTGTTCTCTGGACCCACCCCGCAGACACTATGCCTGCTCCACAGACCCTCCACCCCCATTCCTGTTCTCTGAGTACCTCTCCCACACACCCCCATCCTTTTGCCACAGACTCCCCCGCCCAAATCTGTTCTCTGGCCTCTCCTGCAGACACCATACCTCTCTGGGCCAGAAGAGCCTGACCAAGGGGAGCGGGGCCCAGCAGGCGGCCAGGAAGGGGCCCGCCCGTGCTAGGCCAGGCAGGAAGCAGGTGCCCTGGCTCCTTCTCTCTCTTTCCGGTTCACTGGCCCATGGCCAGGGAGAGAGGCTCTGGTGGGTGTTGGAGCCCTGCTGACGGGGTCTCCTGGATTCAGAACCCCCCAATCTGCTCCCGACCCAACCGGCAGACCCTCACCAGGTCCCTGGGCTTGGGTGAGCCATGGGATGGGCGCTGGTGGGCCCCTGAGCTCTTCTCAGCCTCAGTCTGGAGGGGGGAGGCCCAGAACGCCCTGAGGTGTGGCACGTGGGCCCCTCTTTTCAGAGGAGACACAAGCTCAACAGTGGATAGGACCCCCCCAGAGTCCCAGACCCCATCAATGGTGAGGGCATCCCAGGATTCCCTGGAGTGGGCTTTTATTCAGGGACAGCTGGGCAGGAGGCAGGAGAGGCAGATGTTGGGCGTGTGGGGCTTTCTCAGGGTTTGGTGCTGGGAGTTGGCTCTGGGCACAGGCCAGGGCTGGAAGGGTCTGAGGGCAGCCTGTGCCCTCGGAGCTCCCTGCTGAGGAAGAGAGCAGGGGCCCACAGAGACCTTGGAGAGGGCAGGAGAAACAGGGGGCTTCATCCAGTGGTGGGACCTTAAAGAGGAGGAGGGGCTGAGGGGGGCTGAGGGATTCTTGTTGCCCAGGGGCCATGCTGGAGGGGACAAGGGAGAGAGGAAGCCCGTGACAGCAGAGGGGAGGGTTTTCACAGGAAATGAGGCAAGAAAGAGACTGCATCCCCACTGTGGAGGGTTTCAGGGCAATAGGGAACTGTGGAAGTTTCTGGAGCTGGGCAACAATAAGGTCAGACCAGAGCTGGAGGAGGGTGATTTGGGCCAGCCAGGGGTGGGCCAGGGAAGTCATTGCAACAGTCCAGCTAAAAGCCCTGGAGGAGCTGGCTAGGAGAGAAGGGGGTGGTTCTGAGGAATGCTGAAGAGGTGAACTCAGCAGGCCATGGCACCACATTGGATCTGGGGATGAGAGAGTCCAGGACAAGTCTGAGATAGGGAACCTGAAGGCCTGGACAGGGTAAGAGTCTGGCGGGAAGCCCAAGGGCCTGAGGGGTGCTCCAGTGCCTATGGGGGGAGCCCAAGGGCCTGGGGGAGGTCCAGACATCAGAAGGAAGGTAGGATATGAATTCTGCAGGCCTTGGCACCACATTGGATCTGGGGCTGAGAGAGTCCAGGACAAGTCTGAGATAGGGAGTCTTCAGGTGGAGGTGTTCCAGGGCTAGGGTGGGTGAAGGGCTGGGGAGGGAGCCTGAGGGCCTGGGGGGACAGCCCAAGGGCCTGGGGGGTGTACCAGGGTCTGGGGGGTGTTCCAGGGCCTGGGGGAGGCCCAGACATCAGAAGGAAGGTAGGAGGTGAATTCTGTAGGCCTTGGCACCACATTGGATCTGGGGGCTGAGAGACAGTGAGGAGTCCAGGATGAGCCCTAGGCTGGGAGCCTGAGGGCCTGGGGGCTGGGTGCCCTCGACAGTGACAGGGGAGTGGGGAGGTAGAGTTGGGGGGAAAGATGATGAGCTCAGTTTTGGAAACGGGTATAAGACATCCACCGGACATCCAGTTGGAAATGTCTGAAAGTCAGCTAGAGATGTGAGATGGCCGTCAGCAGAGAGGTCAGGGCAGGAGAGGCAGATTTGAAAGTTAGTGCAGAGAAGGTCATTCAATTCATGGGGGCTGATGAGATCACCCAGAGCAGAGGACAGAGGGCCCAGGACCAAGCCCTGGGGGATGCCCATGGTAAGAGGGCCTGGTCTGGAGGAGAATGGAGACAGAGAAGGAGGGTCCAGAGAGGGAGGAGGAGAACCAGGAGAGGTGGAGTGGAGGGTTGTGGTCCTGAAGACCCAGAGAGAGGAGAGTGTCCAGGAGGAGGGAGTGGTCACCAGTGTCCAAGGCTGCAGAGGCCAAGGAGTCTGAGGGTGGAAATGAGGCTGTTGGGTTTGGCAGCTAAGAGCTCATCAGTCACTTTGGAGAGGGCAGCTTGAGCAGCCGGAGGTCAGAAGCTGGATGGTTGGGCTTCAGGAGAGAGCAGGAGGAGGAGGAGGGGCAAACAGCTATGGCAGACGACTTTTTGAAGAGATGGTTACAGGGTTACACAGCTAGTGTGGGTTGAACTCAGCGAGGTGGGTCTTCCTGACTTCAATCCACAACACCAATCCAGTGGATTATTACCGCGCTGTAAGAAATGATGAGCGTGATGAATATTGAGATGCAAGACACATGCACTGATGCAGTGAAGTAAGTGGAGCCAGGAAAACAATACACACAATGACAATCATGTGAGCAGAAAGACGAACAACCACAAACCAGTCTAGGCGGAATGTTGTGAGATCATAAAAACCAAGCATGGCCTCGAAGAAGAGACATGAGAAGACGCCTCCCCTTCACCCAGTGGACCACGAGTATGAAACACAATATATAAATTCAGATGTTTTCAAAAAGAAAAAAAGAAGAGATAGTTAAGGGGAACAAGAGGGATGGGGTGGAGTAGGGGTGGTAGAGAGGTTAGGATGGAAAAGGGGGGTGAGGGAGGCAGCTCTAGCCTGTTAGAGGAGGAGAGGGAAGCCGGGTAGATCTGGGCAGCAGCTTCAGGGCTAGTCCCGGGGCGATGTCCTTTAGGGGGAGCCCTAGTTGCCAGCTAGGCAACAGGGAAGGAGCCAGCGGGTGAGGATTGAAGGGCTGGGGCTTGCAGTGAGAGCCCAGGCTGGGTGAGGACCCAGGGCCAGGGCCAGGGCCAGAGCTGGCGTGGAGGGCCCAGGCCACTGAGGCTGCAGCTGCGGGACAGCTGCTAGAAGCCGTAAGACACAGAGCAGTAATAGTCAGCATCGTCTTCAGGCTGCACAGGGGAGATAGTCAGGATGCAGGCGTTCTGTGCTGTGTCCTTGGAAGCTGAGAAGCGCTCAGGGAGCCCAGGCTGCCGGTTCTGCTCTTCTTCCGAGTAATAGTAGAGCAGGAACCGAGGAGCACTGCCCGGATACTGCTGGAACCAGGAGACCCCATGGTCGCGGATGGCAAAGTCTGGCTTCAGGGCACACAGCAGGCTGGCGGTCTGCCCCGGAAACACCAGGAGGGCCTCAGGCTGGGTAGGCCCCGGATGGGGGTCTGGGGGGAGACACAGATGCTCTCAGGGCTGGGTGGGCCCTGGGTGGGGGTCTAGAGGATCACAGGTGCTCTCAGGGCTGGGGGAGGGTCTGGGGGATCACAGATGCTCTCAGGGCCAGGCCATCACTCCCCTGGCCAGCAGATGCTCCCATCTCAGGGTGCAGCCCTCCCCCTCCCCCTCAGCATCTTCCTTCCTGCCTCCCAACCAAGAGCCCTGGGGAGGTTCTAGGGGTCGACCCTCTGGGGAGCCCAGCTGGGCTGGCATCACAGGTGTGGGGAAGCTTGACTGGCCACAGCTCTTTTTCAACCCCCTCCCTCGGCACTGTTCTCCAGGAGCTGCCCCTCCCCCCTGCCCTCTCCCCCCACTCCCAGAGGTCCCTGGCCCCAAAGGCTCATCACCATCTCCTCTCTTGTCTTCAGGGAGTGTGTCATCTTCCCCCCCAACCCAGCTGGGGATCTTGGTCACTGAGTCCCAGCAGACCGTGACCGGCAGGCACTGGGCCTCCCTGAGCAGCCTGAACACTGCGGGTAATGAGGCGCTCACTACCTTCCCAAGCCGATCCATTCCTCTCTGGGATGCTCTCGCTGTTGGGTCTTTTTAATGGGCCCCTTCACCTCTTCCACCCCCTCCTCCAGGGGCCCAATCTCCTTCGCACAGCTGACAGATTGCCCCCATATCCTCTATGTGCCTTCTTCTCCAAGCTAAACATCCCGCTTTCTTCCCCCAGTCCCCCCTCAGCCCCAGAGCCTTCTCCAGCTTTGGACACGGCCCTCTCCTGGACCGTCCTCATTTAGCACAGACGGGGGTGCCCAGAAGTGATTAGAAGCCTCCCCCTGGGGCCTGACTGGCCCAGAGTCTGATGAGACCTGCTCCCCCTGATGCTACTGAGCCATCTAACTTGAGGGCTGCCGCCTCCCGTGCAGCTCCCAAGGAGCATGCAGCCCACTCAGACCCTCGGATCTCTTTCAGGACAACTGGTACTCATCCAGGCTTCCCCATCAGTGCTTGGTGAGGCTGCCCAAGAATGAGGGTTGACAGATGGCCCATGGAACACAGATTCAGCCTGTCCTGACCCTGCCTCCCCTCCCAGCCAGGGACATGCTATGCCTTTATCCAAGCCCTGGCCCCTGGCCCTTCTTCCCTCCTGTTGGCTACCTGCTGCCAGCCCTCAGGCCCCAGACCCCGTGTAGCTAGAAATGCCCAGTGAGGGCCTCTGGCCTGAGCCCCACAGCTTCAGGGCTGAAAAAGAGGAGGCCACCACCCCTAGCTCTCCCCAATCCCTGCAGGACCCTGGACAAGGCCCTTTGCCTTGGCTTCTTCTTCTACAAAATGAGGGGGTCAGAGCGCATAAGCCATAAGGAATCCTGACCCAAATGGAGCCAGACCCAGGAGCCTCTGGGGGACGCCCCCTCCTCCTGTTTCCCAAAGAGAGGGTCACTCACTTGCCAGGAGGGTTGCCACAGCGTTGGCCAAGAGCAGAGCCAGCAGGTGGGGGGTCATGGCTGTCAGGAGGCAGAGCAGGCTGGGACTGCCTGAGTTTCCCGGGGGCAGCCTTTGGGGCTAAGCTGGGGCCCCTCCCACCCCCAATAGCATGGCCAGCCACCACAATGCATGCAAATAAGATGGGGAAGTGGAGGCAGGCTTGGGCCCAGACTGAGCTAGGAAGGAGACCTTCCGTGAAAGACAGGATTGGGGCCCAACACAGGGCCCCAGTAACTCTCCTCTCCCAAGGGAAGCCAGGCCCTCCCCAGGCCTGCCCAGACTACAGCGGGGACAGCTCAGGCTCTGGAGACTCACAGGGCTTTTCTAACCACTCCTATAAGGAGCCTGCTGGCCCTCCCTTCTCTCCAATCACCCTCCACCCACTAAACATTTAGCCTGTGCCGGGGATGGGGACCCAGGCATGGAAGACAGATGGCCCGTGTCCTCCAGGACCTTTGAGTCCCCAAAAGGCCCCCAGAGAATGTGCGTGCTGAGAGGGTGCTCCCATGGGAGGAGGTACTATCGGACCTGAGCCCCAGAGGCTGCTGGAGCCTTGGAGCGACATGTTCCCCTTGGCATCCCAGGGTGTACAGAACAGCAGCTAAGGAATCAGAGCCTGGGTGGGTGGAACTCCCTTCTGCCTCCTGTGTTCATGCTGGCTGCTGCTGTTGTAAAACAAGCATTTATTAAGCACCTACTGTATGCCAGGCAATCTTGCCTTTAAGCACTTGACAATTATGATGCTCATATTTCAAGGTAGATGGTATATTTTACAAGAGAGGAAACTGAGGCAGGCTGCAGTGAAATGACTCACCCAGGCTCCCCGAGCTAGGAAGGATCTGACCAGATCCTATCAGCTTCCCCGAGGCTCTTCTCTGACTTGGTTGGAAAGAGCCCTTCCCTTTGGGGAGGTCTTCTTAGCCTGCCCCCCCTTTTCCCTCAGTCTGGGCTGTTTTCTGAGTGTCACCCCTGCTCCAAATGGTGAGAGGGTGCACTGGACTCACCCGGATGCCTCGGATGTGTAGTTTTTGTTCACCTTCTGAAGCCAGGGAACCTGGCATGTTTTTAGGGCCGGGGGGGAGCCTGAGAAAGAGCCGTGGAAGGTGAAGAAGAGAGGAGGGCACCGGGAGGGTTCCCCGAGTGCTCCTGGAGCCAACAAAGCCCTTTGGGGGCTAATGGGCACACAGATGTGGGGGGGGCGGGCCTTTGGTGCTGCAGACAAATGCCAGCTTGGACAGCTTGAGACACTGAGGGTCAGGGGAGACCAGCAGAAGTGTAGGCAGCCCATTTGCAAGCAGGAGCCATCAGTTGATATGGAGCAAAGGCACCTGACGGCTGGGGACTTTCTGGGGGAAGGGCAGAGATCACAGGCAGCTCTAGTTCATTCTGCCCCAGCCATCGTGTCACTGCAGGGACCGTAGGACAGCGGAGCTGGGCTAACGCTACCCGAACCGCCAGCAGACGAGGGTATGCGGGGAAGGCTCCATGGCAGCTGTGGAGGGACGCCAGTCTCCTTCACTGAACCAGCCTGCCTCGCCGCAGTGGTAGGTGGGTGACTGGGGAAGGGGGCAGGCAGCTGAGAAGGCTCAGGCCAAGCTGTGAGGTGGTGGTGGCAGAGGACCCCAGAGGGCGTCTTTGGAGGCCTGTCGGCAGAAGTGGGAGCTGACCACAGCGACTGAGCCCCCTCATGGCACCAGGAGGCGGGTGATACAGCCCCAGGCTGTGGCCGTGAAAGCTCAACCAGGTGATTCTGCACAAGAACGGCTCCCAAGCTGGACAGAAACGGATTGTGCGGGCCCAGCATGGCAGCAGGGGTATCACCAAGAAGTGGAGGCCTGGGGTCCTGGCATACAAAGAGCTGCAGACGCCGGCACTTACTGGAAGAATACAAGTAAAAGCAAACCTCTGGAACTCAGCTGCCCGACTTCCCTTCTCTGGGCAGAGACAGCAAGAACGTAAGTCACAGACTGGTGGCGACGGATGCTGCGTGACACCCCCAAACATAGCCCACGAGGAACTAGAAAGCCTCAGGTGTGGCCCGAGTGTCATGGGGGGAGGTTTTCTCAGTGTGTGGACTTCCTGCCAGGACCCACTCAGACCAAGGGAGAGACCCAGGAAATACAATGTCCAGAGAGGTTGGCTCTGACCGGCAGTGAGCTGTCCAGGGCAACACTTCGCCCTCCTCGGGGGACCCACAACCTCTGACCAGAACAAAAACAGCAGCAGAGCCGGCGCGTGGCTTTGGGTGTCTGCCTCCAGTCCTACCAAGAAGGACACCATTGTTCCCAGTATTATCGACACTGACTTCAGCAATGTGGTGGTCCAAGAAGAAGAAAACTTGATAGAGCCAGTTAAGAAACTATTTGGAATGCAGAGGATTGGACAACCAGAAGAATGTGCAGGGCTTGTGTCTTTCCTGTGTTCTCCAGATTCCAGCTTCATCACTGGACAGAACATTGTAGTAGCTGGCTTCTCTGCCAGCATATAAGGCAGCCTGTCAAGGAACATGAAGCTATAACTCTGGGTGTTAAATAGTACATGTGATCTTGGAAACTGGACAGAAATTGAGTAAGGGTAGAAGAAAATATGGAAGAAGCTCAGGAGGGCTTCATTAGCAGCTAGAGCCTAGAAAAAGGAGAGGAAGGGAATGAGCATTCTTATAGTACGTAGTACATGCTGGGCACTGTGACTGTAAGCACTTTATGAATCTGAAGCTGGAGCTGAAACGTAGCTAATATGTAAGTGTTCCGAGGCCCATAAGAGGAGAATCATTTGCCACAGTTGTTTTCCTGGTAATCACTAATTTAAACTTACACCACTGGGCTCAAGGGGAAAGTGTACGACAGATCAGGGAATCGAATCTGTTTCTTCATAAAATATATGAGCTGTTGTTTCTTAGTATCCTTGAACCCAATTCAGTCCCTTAGTCTGTTCCCCAGTGTGTAGCTGATCTTTACATGTTGAGATCTGACCGTTAATGGGAGTCCCTAGATAATTAGACTACAGTTAGAGTATGATAGGGGTTATTGTTCATTAAGGGACCTAAGAAAAGAGAAGGGTACCTTTGTAAGTGCTGAGGAATCATTGTTTCTGTCTATCTGTTTAAAGGGTTTTTTTTAATTTAAAATAAACTTGTCTGGAAATTTAAAAAAAAAAATAATGCCACAGGCTTTATGCCCTGCCCGCTGAGGTTTGGGCTCCCTTCCTATTGACTCGTGCTCTGAGATCTCTGAGGACAGAGGAACTGCAGCTACCCGTGACCAGTACGTCTCCAAGTCCAGGGACAGTCAGGAGAAGCTCATCTAGCTCACCATCAGCCCCACTGCGATCGCGGGGCCCTACCCCCAGGTAACAGAGCCCTGCTCCGACATCTTGGCATTGGCCGGTCCCTGGCTGATGGAAGAGGCCGGGCAGCTCGCCCGTTGACAAAGCAGCCCCCAAGATGGCGGATGAGCCTGGAATTCTTCCAGTGAGGCTTGGAATCAGCCCAGGCGTGGGGAGGGTGACTCGCCGCCGGCATCAAGTACAACAGACCCTAGCGCCAATGCCGTGCCGTGCCACGTGTGTCTCAAGTTTGTCCTCGTACCCACATGTAGTCAGAGCCGGGTGCCGCGAGGCTCCCTTCGCTCGGTCCGGTCTCTGGCCAGCTATAGTCCTTAATGCTCATCACTGTCTTGGAGATCTGCCATCATGGAAGAGGCCTGGGGCGGGCACTGGGCTTTTTCCTCCATAGTATTTTTTTCCAATCCCATGTAAAGAGTTTTCAGCGTTCATTTCTGTAAGATTCTGAGTTCCAAATTTTTCTCCCTCCCTCCCCTCCTCAGTCCGCCCTTCCCAAGACAGGGAGCAAACTGATACAGGCCATACATGTGTGTACAGTCATGTTAAACATATTTCCACATTAGTCACGTTGTGAAAGAAGAATCAGAACAGAAGGGAAAAACCACGAGAAAGAAAAAACCCCCAAAAGTGAAAACGGTCTGCCGATCCTCCTCCCCAGGATGTGGACGGCACTTTCCATCATGAGGCCTTGGAATCCTCTTAGATCCTTGCATTGCTGAGAAGGGCCAAGGCCACTGGAGCTGGTGTGGCGCTCTGTGATGCTCCCTTCACTCAGCATCATGTCAGGAGGCCTTGTCTGTGGAGGGTGGTGTTGATGCTGCTGGGTGTGGCAGCCTCGGTGGGGTCTTTGGGGTGCTGGGGAGTCACTGTTATACACTGGGCGGCAGCATTACAGTGCCAGGTTTTTTGTGTAAGGCAGCTGATTTTGCAAGGGACAGCAAAATTCCAGGCTCCCCAAAGGAACGTCCCACCTTCTCTAGGTGAGGAGGAATAGCCTAGACTTGCCTTGGCTCTCTGAATTTGGAGTTTTTACTTATCTGCTTAACCCAGGAAATCTCACCTGATCTAGACAGGGGCAAGAGTGAAGAAGAACCCAAGAAAGGAAGAGTGACCCAGAGGAGGCATCAGAGGGGCAGAGACTGCAGACGGTGGAGGGGCTGAGGGCGGCAGCTCCAGGCCCTCCCCTCCACAGCAGCGCCAGGCCTCCTACCCTCCCATCCCCCTCCCGGCCCAGGTTCTGCCAGACAGGCAGGTTAGCTCTACTTCCCGGGCCACGACTGAGCTGGCTGCTCACAAGCTGCCTGTTCGGAGCCCCCACCCCCACCAGGGCCCCTGTTCCCAAAAGCATCCCCCACCCTGTCACAGACTGGTTTTGTGGACCTAGCTACTCCTGGCAGAATGTCGTGGTGAAGCCAAGCACAGCTATTTCCTCTGTCCATTGGTGTGTGGCATGAAGGGGTGGGGAGCTCCGGGAGCCACCCAGGGAGTGGTAGCCTTCCCAAGCTCAGCCGCCCAGTCCCAGTCCCCTGGGCTCCGGCCTGACTCTGCTGCCACTCCCAGAGACCAGACTCTAGGGTGACCCCACAGTGGCCATCTTGGAACTCCCTACTCACAAGCCCCTCCCCATGCTCACCTTTAATCAGCCAATGGACTCAGCCTTTAGTAAAAGCATTTACTCAGAAAGTACAGTAAGCACAGTACCAAGCATTTCCCCAAACCTTAGGGACATCCGCACCTACCAACACAGCCAGAGTCCAGGAGATTGGGCAGGACTGCCAGAAGCTCGGAGTCCAGCCTGTGTAAAGGACCTGGGTACTGCAGGGCCTTTCTCCAGAGGGTCCCTACGAATGACAGCAGGCTCCTCCCAGTGCGGGGCGTCTGGGCTGCGTGGGCCAGTCTGGGCCCGGCCCCAGGCTGGGCAGACTGCTCGGCCACAGGGCTTCTCTGGCATGGTAGCTCTGTTGGGTGATCGCTTGGCAGGTTTTCTGGGCAGCTGCAGTCTTCTCCCCTGATAGCTGGGGGGGGGAGTGTCTGTTGGGGGAGGGGGGGCTCTGGGCTCTCTTCTGCTGGGGTAGTTGGGAGCTTTTGCAGCTTTGCTACATTCTCCCTCCCTCCCCAAGGCACTCCAGGTAGCCCTAGAGCTATTAGTCACTGCTTGGGGAGAGTTCTGGACCTAGGGGTGAGTACAGTCATTCCCTGGAGGCAAGCTCCACCACAGGCCTCTTCCTATGCAATTAAGCTTTCCAGCCTCCCGCCTTCTACACCTTCTAAGGAGGGGCACTTGCATTGCTTAAGCCTGGCTCCCAACCCAGGCTGGCCCGTTAGAGTGGGTCCTTCTGTGTCTCTGACCCCTTTACTCAGTCTCTGCAGGTGAAGGGATCAGAATTCCCAGCTGGTCATCCTTTTCATTACAAACCTGGACCTTTCAGCAGGCCCCATGTGACCGTGAGCCATCCGATGGCCTGGCCCTGTAACTCTCAGGGAGCGGAGGGGCTCCATCCAGCCCCCTCCTGGCCTCGTCACACAGTAATGTCCAAAGGTTTGGCTGGGCCTCGAGGCGAACAAAGCAGCTCCTCAGCTCCTCCTGGAGGCCCTGGGATGTGCCAGGCAAACACTTCAGGTACGGGTGGGGCCGGACAGAATGCCCTGGGGAGGCCATTGTCCCCACCTCAAACCCTTTAGCCTACATTTCTGCTGGGACCGGTACAAAAAGAGTGAATGTTTATGTAAATCTGCAGTTAATCTCCAGAGACCCAGGCCCCAAAGAATCAATCCACCTAAAGTGACAAGGTGCGAGCAAGCCTTTTGGGAAAGGCTTTGATAGCTGACGCCCCAGGCTTTAGCCCCCAGCACCCTTTCGATCCAGCCCTGTGGGGAAGAGCTGGGGGGAGACTTGCTTAAGGGGGAGGAGAGAGTTTCTCCTCTGTGCCCCCCACCTCGCGGTAACCCCAGAGGGGCTGACAACCGAGGGAGTGGCCGACCAAGAAGATGGAAAGACCCAGCCCGACTCCTCAGCACAGAGAGGGCGGCCCCAGTGCACCCAAGAGAGGCGCAGGCCCCCCAGACCTAGAAGACAGCCACTCCTGAAGGGGCCTCGGGAGGACTTGACCGAAGAGCTTCCCTTGCTCACGTGTCGGAAGAAAAATCGTCATGAGAGCTTCACCCTGATACATCAAGCCGGAAAAATGGAGCCAAGGAGATTGCGCATTGCGTGGGCCTGGCCCCCAGCTCAGGCCAGGCTTAACCTTTGAAAGACAAACTTGCATAGCCGGAGAGGTTCGTTCTGATAGGTTAAAAGTAGAAAAGGGCGTGGGCTAGTGTGTGGTTGTCCAGAATCCAGGTGGGCTCCTGCTTGCTGAGGGGAACCCAAGCCCACGTGGCTGCAAGGCTCAGTCTGGGACACTCCCTACCAGAGGGCTCTCAGGCATATCTTGAAAGGGAACGGAAATCCCGGTGCACTCAGACTTCCCTGTTGGTCCTGTGTAAATGCGGTTCCCTCTCAGTGTGGGGTGCTTGGGTGCTTGTACTTGGACCCCAATTTCTCTCTGGCCTCAGAAACACTGTCCCTGACAGTTTCTCCCCAGCCCAAAGACCCTGTGCTTAGCAATTACTCATGAGTGGGCCCCAGCAAGACCCTTATCTCTCTCCCTGGTGCAGTTCCAAACAGCACCTGAAGGAATTATTAGTTTGAACTGGCTTTACACTGGTTCATAAAGACATTCTTACCCACTACTGTACTAGCCTACCACCCTACCACATTATCTACATTCTGGGCTCATTAACTGTATTCTAGACTTAAGACATATGTATACTCCCTACATCTATCTTGTCAAACGAGACATTGATTGGTGGCAGACTGAACAACTCTCAGTTACCCCTGAACTCTAGTTAACTTAGTGATATAGGAGGCCTAAAATCACACCTCCATGTGGCCCCCCTTGTGGGCTTTTCCCAGTGAACTCTGGGTAAAACACCTGCGCAGTAGGTACGAGAAGGGCCTGTTCTTTTAAGAACTGACCACTCCCTAATCCCACCCTGAATCCCCTGGTTAGCATGTTTGGCACATGTTTTATTGTATTTTACCCTATATAAACTTTAACTGTACCTCTCTAAGGTTGCAGGATCCTTTAAGAATCCTTGCCTGCTGAAAAGCGTAACAATAAACTTTGCCACCTTGGCTTAAAGAATGCTTGAATCTGTGAATTCATTCCAGATGACCCATGTACTTCAGTCTTTGACGGGTCACAACCTCTCAACCTCTCACACGGCAACAGATCCACTTTCTCTAGGGAACACATAGGTGCAAAGAGAGAGCACACTTGGGGTCTGGGTTTGGGGGAGGGGACCACAAGATATTTTGTGCCAACTTTTCTTACTACAACCTTTCCCAAAAGCTAATTGAGCCTACTGGCTGATTCTCCCCAGGAAGTACACTAGTGGGGGCTTGTCAGTGACTGATGGAAGCTCTGGCCCTAAGAGTTACTGTCCAGGATCCTGAGAGAAGTCAGGGCAGACAAAAGATAAAGTACTTAGGGACAGCTGAGAGAGGAGGAGAGCCCTCAGCCTGCAGTCCCTGAATCTGGAAGAGACCAGCCTCATTGTGTTGTAGGAGGGGGACTGCTATTGAGGAAGGCTTGGATCAGGTGGCCTCAGAGGTTCCATCTGCCTCTTTACCTCTGCCTCTGAGGCTCAGCCGCAGGAAGGATCCAGAGTCATCTAGGCTTCTGGGTCCCTCCGAGGACAGCACTCCAGGGGCTGCTTCTTCAATGAGAAAGAATGGCAGTGCTCCCTTTGCTGACGCACTTTGCAGACGATTTGTGATTGGGGGCCGTAGAAGGGACTAGAAAGAATGTGCAATGCTTTCTGAGCCTTTCCATTGGATCTCGGAGTGCTGCGTGAAGCTTTGAAGACTGGCTAGTTCACACTCCCGTCTGACCCTTATTCTCATCTGATGCCCCGAACCTATGTTGTGATATTCCGGCTGTGTTTCCATAGCTCCAAAATTGGTGGCATTTAAGGCCTCTGTTTGTATTTGATAAAAGGGCTCCGGACATGTGAGGTAAGCCGGCCTGATGGACTCACCCTGCCAAATAAGCTTGGTGCCACCTTGCCTGGGTATGTGTGGATCACTCGTGTTTTATGTGCTTCTAGCCCTCATCACTTTTCTATGTTTATACTTCCCATGTTTAGAGACTGTTATAAAAACCCCAGACTCAATTCAGAATTCAGCCCAAGACTGGGCCCTGTAAATTCCCTGAACAAGAGTTAGCTGGGTCATAAAGAAATCACAATTGTGGAGTGAGAGAAGAGATACCTTTATTAACAATTCTCACGAGCATTGGGTGTGTTCCCTTATTGGAATGACACACCTATACAAGAGCAGGGCAAGTGGTTATATAGGATCACTTGGCTTTAACCCCCAACTTGTCCCAACATTCCTGCACATCCCATTTAACATCTGTGTTTGCAATGCAATATCTGTTGTTTCTATAGAGTCTGTGAAAACCAATCTCCCCCTCATCTTGTTTACATATTTGTGTAAACCAATAAACCAATTAATCAATA